ATCAGTAGTCCTCTATTACTAGAAGCAGAAAGGAAAATTCTAGTAGAAAAGACAGATCTATACAAAGAAAGTGAAGAACAGTGAAAATATATTTGAGTCAACACTAAAGGTTTATTTTTCTGCTTTTTAAATTACTTTAAAAGTTTTTCCTGAGTTTGATTTTTCTCAAGAAATTGACTATTCAAAGCAAAAATTGCAACTTGCATTGTAGAGTCTATAACACACATAGAAGAAAACATGTGACCACAGCAGCACAAACTGTAGATCTATACATAGGTGCTTTTATGTATAGAGTGATGTATAGGGCGGCTGGGATGAACAAGCGGGCCTTCCTGCAACAGTGTTGTACACTGAAAATTGCCTAAGTTCAAAGCATACTTAATGTAACTCCTGAACAGCATAGCGGAACAGCATAGTACATAGTGTGTTTTATTTATCTTTGAGGCTGTGTAGCTGATTGAGAACTGTAGCTTGCTGCCACTCCCAGCCTCTCTTGAGGTTATGCGACATATATCCTTAGTGCAGGCAAAGGTCAGAACTCAAAATTGGAAGTATGGGTTCTACTGAATTCATACTGCTTTTATACTGTCCAAGAGTCAAAAGCCTCATCATCATTTTTGGTAATATAACCATTTTTGCAATGTCAATTTTACTATGCCATGAAAATGGAAGGTTTTTCCATTTTGAAGTATTTCTTCAGTGTGTCATATTATCATTGGACATTTATTTACTTTTTGTTAGGCTTATTTTAGTTTCCTTTTTTCTTTTTTATGATTGTGAATTGTGGTGCTCTCCTGATTTTCTCATCATGTTATATATTAGAAATCTACTAATGTCCACCTGTTAATTTAATATCCTGCTACTTTGCTGAAAGTGTTTGTCAGTGCTAAGAGTGCTGTAGTGGAGTCATTAGAGCTTTTATGTATAGGATCATCTTGTCTGTGAACATGTGTAAATCGACTTCTTTGTTTCTGTTTGTATCTCTCATTTCTCTCATCATATTTCTCTAACCAAGATGTCACTGATATATTAAAAAGGAGGGGAGAAAGTAGACACCCTTGTCTCACTCCAGATTTTAGTGGAAATGCTTTCTTTGTTTAATTGTACCATTGTGTGTTGGTTTGTTCCATATGGCTTTTATCTAATATAATCCTTTATTGGATTCTATTAAATGCCTGTTCTACATTGAGATGATCATGTTGTCCATATCCTTAAGACTATTAATAGGTTATATTTATTGATTTGCATATGCCAACGTATCTTTTTATCCTTGGAATGAAGCCCATTTTGGGCTAGCATAGGTGCAACCTAGCATGAGGTGCAGCATTGGCCACTTCTGGACCACAAGCTCTGTTTGCTGATCCTGAGGAAACTTCCAGAAGATTTTGACTCAATTAGCTATTCTCTTCTTAATCACAGCTGATTCTTTAGTTCCAACTGACTAGAACCACAGATTATTAATACAGAATAATACATAAACAACCTTGATAGATTTCCTCTTTCTAAAACTTCACAAGTCTGGCCTCCATCATCTGCACTGCTTTCAGCATTATTGTCTAAGTTCCCACAGTGGCTTATTTGAGCTTTGAACAGTCTAGCCCAAAATCAAAGTGCAATCAGGTCTGTCAGCATTTCACACAAACCTGGTACCAACCTGAGTCTTAGGGTTTCTATTGCTGTGATAAAATATCATGACCAAACAATTTGGAGAAGAGTGTATTTTAGTTTATAGCTTTAATCCTCCTTCATGGGCAGTCAGGGCAGGAGCTTCAGGCCGAAACTGCTGATGCAGTGGTGGAGGAATGCTGCTTATTGGCTTGCTCCTCATGGCTTTCTTAGCCTGCTTCCTTATATAATTCAGGACTACCTGCCTAGGGGTGGAACCACCTGTGGTGAACTGGTTCCTCCCATATCACTTATTGATCAAGAAAATGCTCTACAGACTTGTCTCCAGGCCCATTTTGTGGAGGTGTCTTCTTTGTTCTGTTCTCTCTTCTCAGATGGATGGGTTTGTTGGCTGAAACCAGCTAGTGAATCTCTTCTGTCGGATTTCAGTGACACTGCATCTGCTTACTTTCTAGTCCCTTTCCTTGCTGCTGTTTCTGGTCTTGCTAGTAAGATGTGTTTCTTGAAGGCAGCAGAGAGCTGTTATTAAGTACAGTCCACTAGCATGTGACTTGAGGGGAACTGATAACAGTAGCACTCAGAGACATTGTGCAAGGTGTGTGTTGTTCCTATCATTTGTTGTTTTTGAGTGTTTGGTGCTCTGCTGTTGTAGTGTAGGTTTTTCTTTCAGTGACCTTGTAGATTTCTTTTTAATTAAAAAATGTTTGCTTCCGTGCTTTTTAAAACAATTTAATAATTAAAATACTAGTATTTATGTGTAGAAACATTTTGTCTATGCATCCATATGTGTACCACGTGTGTACCTGGTGCCTACAGTGCCAGAAAAAGGTATCGTATAACCGGAAACTGAAGTTACAGACGGGTGTGAGCTGCCACATAGATGCTGGGAACCAAATCTGGATCCTGCTGAGCCATTTCCCAACCCCAATTTAAAATCTTTAAATAATATGTTGTGAAATGGTCTTAAAACTATTTTCAAAATAAAGTTATTTCAAGAAAGTTAAAGAAACATTTATCCACATTTGAAATTGTTAATATTCTCACTGATTCTTACCTAAGCTTGAAAAATATTGTATATATCGTTGTTTTAGAACAAATTCTGCTTAAATATAGTATATTCCTACTTTAAAATTTTTGCATATTATAATGTTTAGCTATTTAATATATCGGAGTGAAAGTTGGAGCTTCATTAAATGCTTATTTCTATTGGCCAGGATTCTGAGTTTAAATTTGTACATTGTGCAAGTTTCATTTATTTAATTTCTTGGATTTTGATGTGATAAATATGAACATCAGTTGTTGGCAAAGCTTTGTTCTTAAAATTGCCATTCATAAGAAGCGTTGTTCTTTAAATACATAGACTAAAGATTTTGTTTGGACTTTGAGCAAAACACAAATTGTAGGTGATTCATTATCAGAACAATTCAAAGTAATTATAGGACCTTAAATTGATTACTATTTAACCATCAAAAGTTTGCCAGACATTTTTAGTGTCTTGTAGCTGATGTTAGCCTAGCGGAGAGAGAAGTCGTGTTGTTTTTAATTGTTTTGTCTATTAGTATTCACTGCACATTTTTGTTACTCGTGTTCTCTGATTATACATGGAAGCATGTTAATGGCTCCCTTTGATCAGCTGAAAAAGAATAACATTTGTAGGAAAAAGTTTGATGGTATTAGTGTGGGGAAATATGTCTTTTGTTTTAAGTTGGGTTAGTCTTCAGTAGTTTTATTTGGAGTGGTTTTTGTTTGTTTGTTTGTTTTTGTTTTTTGATTTTCAAGATAGGTTTCTCTAGTCCTGGTGGTCTTCGAAATCACTCTGTAGACCAGGCTGGCCTTGAACTCGCTGAGATTCACCAGTTTCTGCCTCCAAGTTCTGGGTTAAAGCCTGGCTGGAGTTTTCTTTTGAGTTAGAATATATATGAGTCAAATTTTATATTTTAGAATGCTGTCTATGAAATAAAAGATAAAAACCTTATTTAAAATTTAATATTTTGAAAAGTGTTTGCATGTACTCTGAATAATGTTTTCCTTTGTTGCTTTTACCTGGTAAGTTTCTACATAGTGAACTGTGGACTTGACTGGGTTTTGTGTCATCGTTGACAACAGAATAAGTAATTCATTAGTTAGCTGAAAGCCAGCTGATGTCTAAATATCATGCTTTGCTCCTAAAATGTCTACTGTATTCCTTAAATTTTCTTTTGTCTTTCTATCACACTAAAATGAAATTTTACATGGTCTTACAGCATCTTTGCTTGCCTTCCTTCAGTGATTGCTAGCTCTCCAATTGCATCCTGTAGCATCAACTTTCTAAACTCTAGCCACAGCCAGGCCCTTCACTTCCCTCCAGGCCATTGCATTTGTTTTTCCTTTACTGGGAATTTTCTTCTTGGAGGTCTATTCATCAGAGACTTTCGTGTGGTCAGGGTTCATCACTTCAGAAACACTTTATCAGGTTATAAAAAGAGCCTTTCTTCTGGTGTGTTTTCCATCCTTAGTATTCAGTATCCTATTTCTCAACTTGAGTTTCTTCATAGCAGTTTTCCCCATTTAAATGGCCTTATTTATTACAAGACCAAGTATGTTATATGCCATGTTTATGGATATCTGTCCTTCAGTATAGCAAATTTTTACTGTTTGTAAAAATGAATGTCTGTCTTACATAGTTACTATGTCCACATTTCCTTTTTGATTCTCACTTCTAGCTCTAAAAGAAAAATCTGATAGTTGTATTTGCCTCTAATAATTTCAATGAAAAAATAGTTTTGTATAATGAAGGAACTATAAAAGGTAGAGCTATGTGTGTCCTAATGTAGATTTTGGTGTGTTCTTAATTCAGATCATTAAAAGTATAGCATATTAAATTGGCAGCATAGAGGATCAGAGTAATATGCAAGTGTATAAGAGAACCATTAATTACATGGAATTCTCTACAGCTATTAAAACCCCATGAAAAAACTGCTCTTTATGAACGGATATGGAAAGACTAATAAAGAATAGTACAAGACTGTAGTGCCCAGTCAGAGCAGTTCGTGCATTTTGTTTATGCTGTGCTACTAAGAGAAAATAACAATGGATTCCTTATGTATTTATTAAAGCTCTGAGTGTGTAAGAAGCTAGTGAAAAGTGATTATAGATCTAGGTGATGTAAAGGGAGTGAGGATGGATAAAATATATGGTGGATACTTTCTATGTTGTCTTGATTTTTACAATTATTAATTATTAAATTATTGATTCAAAATTTTTAACAAAAATAAAAGTAGAAACTATTATGTTAGATATAGTAATTTCTAAGATCTATTTAAGATTCATGTGTTCATTTAAAAAAGTTTTGCTCTTTCCCCAATCCTGTCTCTTTTTATCCCCCTCTTACTCAGTGGAGTAGGTCGGAACTGGGGCTGGGCGTCTGCAGGTAGCAGCATTCTGGCTGAATTTGGCACACTGCATATGGAGTTTGTCCACCTCAGCTACCTGACTGGTGACTTGATTTACTACAAAAAGGTTAGTTATCAAAGACTCTTACAAATTTCCCAAAACATCGTAATACTTTCACAATTTTTTAGAACTTTTGTTTTTATTGCTTTTTTCTCTTTCAGTTTTTAAAATCCCTTTCTACTTAGAATATATTTAAAAAAGTATTTATTCAGAAGTTTATATTAAAATATATATTCCCTTTTATACTCATGGTTCTGAACTCCCTGGCCCACATGTTAAGACAAGAAAATAAATTAAAAGTTTGATAATTACAAAGGAAGAGAGAAAATACTGCTTATTCATAGAGTATATGATTATTCTACTGAATCTTTTAAGACAGTCTTGGTGGGGATTGTTTTTTGTTTGTTTGTTTGAAAAGAGGTTTTTTTTTTTTTTCTCATTTCCTTTTTGGTGAAGTAGATCTTCTCCCAGGGTCTTGCACACACCGTTTATTGACTCTCCTACTGAGCTAACCCTAAGTGTTAGGACACTGACTATTAAAATCCAAATGGCTACTGTGAGTGCAAAACTCAGCTCAGAAGATCTAAGAGGTGCTTTTTCTAGAATCAAATGTGAACAGCCTTAGCCTGTAGGAACTCAGATTCAGGTTATTGCTGCTTCAACATAGTAACAGTTTCGTGAAATTTTTATAATAACAGAGCACAATAAAACATGAGTGAAAACCTCTGTTAAAATACTTTGGGAACATCAGGCATATGAGTTACAGCTAAATGGGGAGCTGTCTTTCTCAGATGCTAATTGGTAGCACTCTTAGCCTTTGGGCTGGTGGAAGCCAGGGTCTGTCAGGACACAAGGATGTTAGGCTACACACAGAGGGAAGCAAGGAATGGCTGTCTAGATGGTTTAGTTCTAAACCCAGAACATTCCAGCACTCTAATTAGGATGTTTTAACTAGTTAATCATCCTTATAGAATCTTTAACATGGGCAGGACTATGTTTTTCTTCCTAAGTTCACATTAGAAACAAACATTTAATTTGGGGGGCTATAAAATATCAGTGTAGACTTAAAATCCTTAGCATCCATCTGTATCAGCTGTACAGGGTAAGAAAGTGTCATTTTATAAAGATGGCATGTATGATAAGAACAAACTAGTGTTTAGCACAAATTTAAAATCTGTGGAGGTAAGTTCATGGTGCGGATAGGGTGGCAGGTGCGGATAGGTGAGTGCTTTCAGACTAGAGGGAAGTAGTGTGCTAAGGAGCTAGGAAAGAAAGCTTGCAGCAGTTCACAGTGCCAGCTTCAGTGAGGTAAGAAGTGACACGTGTCCCTGTGGCCGACAGTGCTAGCCTCCCATCTCAGTTGGCCAGGGAGAAGCAAGGGCTGGAAACCGCACTTAGAGTTGTGTTCAACCTCAATCTTTTATGTCAAAGCTTTCTTGTGAATTTTTGGGTCAGGAAAACAGAGGAGAGTCAGTGTGGTGGTATAGAACTATAATCCTGGCATTCGTAATATTAAGGCACATTAATCTGTTTATACCAGTGTGGACTGCATGCCGAGTTTAAGAGTCCTTACTCTCCCCCACAAAGGGAGGAAGTTGATGAATGATGACGAATAATTCTTGTAAAAGGCATAAGTACAGAATTTATAAGAGATTTATCAGAACAAAAGGGGAAGGCCATGGAATGTGATAAACAGTAGACCAAAACAATAAATAAATAAAAATACTGACCAGATATCACCATAAGAAAAGCATGGATTCCCTCATGCCCCAGCCTGTGTAGAATAAGAATAGAAATGAACTAAAATGGTAGAGTAAGATGTGATATCAGTGCCAGAGCCGAAGAAAGCATTTCCACCCAAGAGAAGACCAAAGTGGAAGCAACACAGGAAAGATGGGGCTTGAAATATGGAGGGAGGGACTTAGAAGACAGAGGAACTAAAAACAGTGAGCGTGAAATAGTGCACTGAGAAACACAGAGTTAATATTATCCATCATTTCAGATGTCAAAAAGCAAGTTTCTCATCTTTCCTTACATCATTTAGAAGTGTCTAAAAGCACTTGTGCGTGATGGTGACATTGTATATGAAAGCATTCTTGAGTTCCTCAGTACCATGCCAACGCCAGCTAAAGAGAACATGATGAGAAGCTTTGTGGTAAAACTATTGATGTTCTCAAGTTCAGAAAGCTAAAGTATATATACACACTTGTGAGAAAGAATGTATTCTAAGTCACTTATACTGTCCTGGTCATCAGTCATATGTAAGGCAGCATGGCTACGATACTTACTCAAAATTTGAGTGATCAAAACTTTAGGTATCAATAACTTTTCAAAGAACTAAGAATACAAGAAGTCGAATACCTTTCCTGCTGCACTGGCTGCTCCCCATGCCTGAGAGTGCCTGTCAGATCTGACTGGCCTGCAGACAGCTTGAAGGCAGCCTTTGGGAAAATCATCAGCTTCCAAGTATAGTTTGTTATTCTTTTTCCTCCCTTAACTTCAGGGAGATCTCTAAGAATTTACATAAAATTGATGTTTCTCATGGTCATATCTGTATAATAGACTGAGAATGTAAAATATTTTGTGAGCTTTTTTATTTCATTACTTTTATTGTTTGTTTTTTTTTGTTTTTTTTTTTTGTTTTGTTTTTCGAGACAGGGTTTCTCTGTAGCTTTGGAGCCTGTCCTAGAACTAGCTCTTGTAGACCAGATTGGCCTTGAACTCACAGAGATCTGCCTGCCTCTGCCTCCAGAGTGCTGGGATTAAAGGTGTGCACCACCACCACCCAGCCTATTGTTTGGTTTTTAAATACTGATATGTCATCTAATAAAACCAATGAATTGTTTAAGAAACAGAAACCCTCCTGTCCACCACACATGTCAAGGTAGAAGGTGGGTGTAGGTTCCATATGATAGAAAAATCACAGAGCATAGGCTAATAGAAAGCCTTGATGACATCTGTTTCTCTTAATTACATTCTTATTTCATTTTGATTAGGTCATGCACATTCGGAAACTACTCCAGAAAATGGAACGCCCAAATGGTCTTTATCCAAATTATTTAAACCCACGTACAGGGCGCTGGGGTCAGTGTAAGTATTTCTAGCGCAATTGCTGATTTGTTAAAAGGTTGTTTGAAAAGTCTTTGCTTGATGTGGTGAAAGGTGCACCATGTGGAATTCAAACCCCGAGTCCAGACCTGATACTACCAGTGCTGCTTCCGTCCCTTAGTTTCTGATCCTTTGAAGCTACTTGAGTTTTTATTTGTAAAAAGGAAGCATTGGTAAAGTGTCTCACAAGGATATTTTCTTTTATGTATTGTAAATGCTTTGCTGAATAAGTTATGATGGATATTACATAGTAATTAATCTTACAAGTAAGAACACTATGAGGAGTTCAGAATAGATGTAACTATTTAAATTACTGGAAAAGAGGACAGTTGCCATTGGATAGACTAGGCCTATTTGTTCATTTAAGAAAAAGGTATCACACATTAGTTATTGTATGAGACTAAAGATAGAAAAAGAATGAGTGTTTGGTCTGCTTTGGGGGAGTTCCCAAGCTAGCAGGGTAGGTAGAAACACAAAGAGATTGGACTATAATGTGGCAAATGTAACAAAGAAGTGTGCTCGTTATATGAAACTGGCAGAAATGCCTGCTCTGCCTGCTGGAGAAAGGTTTTGCTTGAAGAGGTTAATAGTATCGGGGCTTTAGAATTCATCTTTGAAGGTTTTGAATCTTAAACAGTAAATGTTCATGCGGAAATGTTGAACTTAAAATTTTAGTAATTAAAGTTTTATAAATGCTATTTTCTTAAAGTAAAGAAACTAAAATAAATACAAGTAAAAACTTTGTCCCTTATAAGTCAGTGTCTGGGGTAATTTTGAAAATAATAATAGTGCAATGAAGTAGTAAATGAGAGACAAAGGTAATGATCATTTAATTTTAAGTACTGGAAGCACTGCTAGCTCTGCCAGTGGAAACCATGCGAGTCTGAATACCGGAGCTGGAAGATGTTTGCCATGGATTGTCTTGCAGGCTCCTTTTCAGGAAATTGCTTATGGACCCTGGTCATGTATTTTCCCTTCTCCGTTCTCTTTACTTTGAAGAAAATAGAAGAGCTAATGTTCATACTGAAAGGATATTTTTGAAAAAGCAAAACGTTGAGACCTGTGTTTATAAAACAAAATGTAGTTTTCTTAATGCTATATATGAGTGACTGGATTGGATGCCTACTTAGTAATTTCAGTGAATCAGATTGTAGAATTACAGTACCAGACATGAATTCCTTCCTGTTGAGCAAGCTTTAAGTCCAATTAGACAACTATCTGGTTATTCCCAAGGTCAAAGTCCCACCTTCATACCATGTGGCTCTCTTGTGGGTCCGGTCATTGTGTGGTTCATTGACATTACAGCTGGGTAGAACTGCCAGTTGTTTCTCTACCACTGTCCAATGCTGTGAGAGCCATTCCCCAGGGAGGAGGCTTCCCCGTTGGTTCCTGCTTGATTCCTTTAAGTCCTTTGAAGAGTGTGGTGTCTTCAGTAATTTCTGGAAGAAAACAGAAATTGCATTGGTTTAGGAACTTGACAGTAAAAGGTTCTTTTAGAGAAGCATCTGTGCTTACCACTGTAATACCGACATGCTTTTTCGTTAATAAGTGATAAAGAAAAAAAAACTTGATAAGCACTTGAAAAACTCTTGTATCATTTATGAAACTGATTTTAAAATGGATTTTAAAAATACAACCAAATTTAAGAGCCTGAACTACAATACCCTTAGATGAATATCCGGGCCTATAGATTCCTCAATATGATACCAGTGCTAGATAACCATAGGAAAATAAGTTAGACTTAAATAGAAATTAAAACTTTTGTGCATTGAAGGACTCTATTGTGATTTAGAGATAACCTACCAAACAAGAGTAACATATATAGTGGGGATATGTTTCTATAATATATTAACTCCTACAGGTCAACAAGAAGGCAACATAATTGAAAAATAGACCAAGTGATTTGGATAGTTATTTTTCCCAAGAAGATATGCAGATGGGAAAGAAGTAAATGAAAACGGTTTGTGTCTTCATGGAAATGCAAATTAAAACCACTGTGAGATACCTGCCATTTCACAGCTTCTGTGGTGGCTGTATTCAGAAGTAAGCCTTGGCAAATGTGGAGAAATTAGAGCACTTGTCGTTTCTGGTGGGAACAGAAAACCTTGCAGCCAGGGTAAAACCGGGGCAGTTTCCAAAAAGGCAGTCCGAATACCCTAATGAGTAGCCACCAAATGCACTGAAAATAGACTCAGGTGCTTATGTCCAAGTGTTCCTAGAGCCAGGAGCTGTGCTCTGCTAGAGGTTCAGTTGCTGGAGGCTCTGGCACAAAGGTGATGTAGTGGAGCATTTAGGAAGTGAAAAGCTTCCAGGGATGGGTAGTGAGTGTAACTACTGTCATTGACTGGAACACTTTCAGTGGTACACGTGCACAAGGTCATTGAGTCGTTGGATCCAGTCTCCAGGTTGTGTGGAAGAGGTAGCTTTTATGAGGATGGGTTGTTGTGGAGTAAACCCGCCCCTATCTACCAGCTCCCAGAGGATTGCTTGTTAAGTTGTAGTATAGTCAGATTGCCTTCACCAAAGTTGAATAGATGCTGACACCATGATCTCTAAAATTGTGAACTAAATAAACCTCTTTTCTTTATTAGTCCTAGCTTTACATATTTTTTTTACAGAAGCAGAAAATGGGTGTAATCCAAGTGGCTTACTAGTGAATGAATAAACAAAATGTGGTATAAGCATACAGTGTAATATTATTACTCAGTAATTTTTAAAAAGAAATGATACATGCTACAATATATGTGACCCCATTGAAAACATTATGCTAAATGAATAGAGACAGCCACACAACACAAACTCACATATATCATATCAATATGTGTGTGTGTGTTTGCACTTATGCCAGTCTCAGATTCGTAGAGATAAAATGTAGGTGGAGGCAAGCAGAAGCTTTAGTGACAGAGAAGTAGAACTAGATTACATCTGTAACCCAGCAGTCCAGGAGCAGAGGCAGGAGGACTTTGAGCTACAGAGTGAGTCTTAGTACAGTCTGGGCTTTATGTGAAACCATGTCTCAAAACAAAACCAAATTGAAGGTCAAGGAAAAGGAAAGACAAGGAACAACTTGAAGATGGTCCAGGCCCTTATTCTATATTTTTGCAGGGAGTGGGGAGGGTGGTGAGATAAGGTGTCTCTGAGAATCAGAGCCTTGTCTGCTTAGAAGCTGGGGTAGGTAGGGGGCAAGTGCAAGGGTTGAAGAGTTTCTTTCTTTCTTTTTTTTTTCTTTTTTTTGGTTTGCAGTTGGCTGTTACTGGTGGTAACCAGTGAGCAGTCAGTTAAAGGTTAGGCGATCTCTAAGTACTTCTCCTGACTGGCCATTACCAGGTCCACAGGGAGGGCAGTTGAGAATCTAGAGAAACAGGTTCCTTTACTCCTAATTGCCATATTCCTGTAGTTCCTGGAATTGCCATAGTTGAACCAAAAGAGGTTTTACATGACAGCTCAGTACAGTGGGTGAAGAGCATGGAGAGTAGTTTGCAGGGTTTTCAGTGCCTGGTGATGCAGTTTCAGGAACAGGTAGTGCTCATGTCACCCACTGGCCGCAGCCAACATCACTGACTAGCACACTTCCAGTGGTGCCAGTGGCACCGTTTGTGTCGCGCATAGACCACCACAGTAAAAGCCCTAACAAAAAGAGAACTCATTTGCCACTGTTTTTCTCCACAAAATGAATTGAAATTACTTTACAATATATTCATCGTCAGCAGTTATTAATTTTGACAATGCTACAGAAAGCACTGTTCACTGGGTGTTTTGGCAGGCAGATTTTAAAACCTTAGCAAACTGGCCTCATATTCTGCTAGCAGCTGCATTCCCTACTAAATTGTCTGATTTGTTCTTTCTTGTGTTTTTGTATGTTTTATATCAGCTCTGGAAAGTATCAAATTCCATAATTATCTTTGAGCAGTATACATCTGTCATATCTATAAATAGGCTGCAAAACAAACATTTAATTGAACTGAAAGTTAACCATTTAGCTTTGGCTAACTGTATTATAATTAGAGTGATGATAATGTCTGATATGCACATAGCAATCAGAGAGTAATTGCTAGTAATTATTCTCAGGATAAGGACTTGGCAACAGATTTAAAAGAATATCGCAAGGAACCTAAATTTATAGGCAAATCATTGGTTCTCTTCCCTTTTTATTTCAGTTCTCTCATTTTTAAAGTACAATGATTAGCCGAGGGCATTTAATGATTTCAAGTGAAACCAATCTAGGAAACCAGTCACTACCAGTTCATTAAGTTTTATATTACTAACTTTAAAATTGTGGAAAGATTAGAATGGGTTCAATTCCTCGCAACCACATGGATCCTCACATCCATTTGTAACTCATGTCCCAGGAGATCTAACATTTTCTGAACCCTGCAGGAACTGTACGCATGTGGTTCATAGACACACATGCAGACAAAACACCCATACACATAAAAGAAGATTTAAAAAATGGAAAAACAATAATAGACAAAGCCTCTCACTGCCTGCCGTGATGCGGAGCTTACTCGTTTTCCACTTTACTACTTCTTTACCATTAATAAATCTTTCCTGATGGCAACACTAGCTCTGAAGTGTACTCCTTTGTAACTTTGTATCGTGATACATTACCATTCCACAGTGTTATTTTTCACCAAAATATTGTTTTCTTGAATTTGTCTTCAGCACATTTCTTTGACTGCCTGAGTTCAGTCCCTAGAACTCACTGTGAAAGGAGAGAACCAGCTCCTAGAGCTTGTCCTCAGTCATATGTTCATACCATAACCTCACACCCACACTGATAATGGTAATCAGAACTGAAATTGAAAGAAAGGTATGTTCTGGTTTGAACTGTTGAGTACACTATCCAGATATATGATGTCTTAGAAAAATTGGGAATTTCATCACAATGGTCATAGTTGCTGGGAAAGCTGTGAGACCATCAGCATCTGTTTATTTTTTTGAAAAACTTGCTTTCTAGGCCATTCTTTTGCTTATCTTTTAGT